GGTCCCAAACCATAGGATCGTGTTAACTTTGAAATCTAATCTTTATGAGGTTATTGTTAAAGGAAGCTATTCAGTATTCATATAGCACGTACTCAATCATCGCAGCGTGACCATTGCTTTCGACATTGTATCGGTCGTCTTCCAAGGATCCCTTGTTTTTCGCTTCTTCAGATCTGTCATTCCACATTGGAATCGTCTTCCTTCTTTGGGTAATTGTAAAATTAACTCTCCCTCTAATCGGAGGTCCTTCTTCGATATATATAGTGCCTTGGACTTTGAAGACAATTATTTACGAGGGAGGTGTGCGATTGCGTTGCAGGTTACGCGAACGAGGTGGGCGAGGCGTTCAGGGCCCTGGTTCACGTGAATGCAGTGCGCTTCAGCTACGCGGTCGCCTGCACCTACGTGACGGCAGACGCCGCGCACAAGGGCAACGAAGCTAGAATCGTATGTATCCATGTAGTGTATACGCGGTGGCCCCACCTCCCCCGAGCTCTAGTACTATAGCCCTTGTTCGTCTGGCTATAGTACTACTAGAGCTACACCTCCCCCTGCTTTACACAGGAGGGTCGGGATCCATAAAAAATGTCTCGGTTAAGCAGTAAATATACCTGAGCTATAGCTGGGTTGGGGGGTGGGGGAGGTTTCCCTCCCCCAGAAAAGTGTAGATGGATGACATTGTCAATGGCAGTCTTGATCTTGATTCATGAGTACATCGAGAAGCCTCAATAGGCGAATTACGACGGGTAGCTATTACGAGAGCGCTAAAAGACGTTAGTGGCGAGTTTGGACGCCAGATTGAAACGGTCACCTTCCCACAACACACCGTGCACATGGCTTTCCCCCACCCCGAGGCAAAATGGGTTAGCCATCTTTTTCTATTTTCTTTTCATTCACTCTTGATAGTCTGTGGTGTTTGCAGCTGCTTCTGCAGCGATAAATCTAACATGGGGGCAGACGAATTTTCCGATTCGACGATGCAGGTGACGGACGGCCCTATCGTGAATTTTTTCCTCCCCAGACAAACTGGCCGGACGAATCTCTGCGGAACAAGAAAATCCTACACGCTGTCCTCGACACCTTCCTCTGGCAGGGGTTGGCGTCCGTCGCCATTCCGGGTTTTACCATCAACCGAATCTGCGCCGGGTCAGCGCTGATCCTGCGCAAGACGACCGCGCTGCCACCTGGCGTGCGAAAGTGGACGACAACGTTCGTCGGTCTCGCGGCGATCCCGTTCATCATACACCCGATCGATCGGACGGTCGACTACGGCATGAATCGCACGGTGCGGAGGTGGTACGAAATCGGGCCGGTTGAGACGAAGGTCGTCCACCACACGCGCGACTGCGAGACGCCATCCGAGATACTGCGGTCGACCGACGCGGAGTGAGCGACCTCTTGGGAT